TTCGTCTCCTCTGCTCTTTACTTTCCGACATCGGGTATGTCATGATACGTACAATTTATGAGCAAACGTTTTGTCAAAATTTCTTGAATATCTTTTGGAAGTTCGGAAAAAAGGTAGAAAAAAAAGTAAAACAAAAATATTAAAACTTAAAAGAAAAACAAATGTCAAATTCTGCACCCATACATTTTAATTGTGAACATTTTTAACATATATATTTTATATTAATGCATAATATACATTATGCATATTATCAGAATCGTAATTTTTTTCCGGATTACACTTTAAATAAATGATAAAATACATAGATTTGAACTCAAATAAGTATACAAAATTAATGGCCATTTAATATTTCGTTGACACTAAAGTAAACGTTTGGAATAAAATAAATAATATCATAATTCATAGTATTATTACTATATTTAACATTAGGTCGTTACCCATATCTGAATAGGCTGGTATATTTAATGTTTTTAATAAGAAAATATGAGTTAATGTTTTTAGGTAKCGTACCTATACTTAATATCAACAATATAAATCATTAGATGAAAAAATTATTATTTTTTCAAACATATTTTATTCTATGAGTATTATTATAGTCATTATTCATTTCTTAAACGATATATATGTTAAATACACACAATTTAGTGTAGGTACGTATTATTACCAAAATGCTTTACTTATAAGTACCTACCTGCCGTTATGGTGTACCTACCTACAATTTACTATTGTACCTTCTGTATTTTATAAATTACGATCTTAAATCATTAAGTGTAGTTAATCTAGTTTTTCTCCTAATAATAGGTTATTGCAGTGAATTATGAATGTCACAATCGGAAGGTCATCAAAGACGTTTTTTTTTCCACTGATTTAACTGTAATATAACAAAATCTAATATAATCACATTATTGTTATTTTTATGTAATGCTGTTATTATTATTAATATTAAAATTTGATGCATTTTCAATCTATTTGTAAATCGTCCTTGAATAATGGATACACATTGAATAGAGGAAACAAATTTTGAATCCTGCATATGAAATTATAATAACACAAAGAAACACACACACACACGTATTATGGGTGCACGCAACTCGGCAAGCAAAAATAAATGCTCTTGAATATTATAGTTATCAGAGAGAAAAACAGGAAGCTCAGTATAATATTATGTGGTTTATCTAAATTTTATGATTTGCAGTCAAAAGCACATTATTCATTCTTGTGTATGGTGCACTTCACAAAATACCATGTTCGTAATACAATATATTTGTATTTTCCTTTATGTAAGTATCGTTTTCAAGTATCATCGTTGACGTTTATTTTCTATATGAAATAATATTAATAATAAATAAAAGTTAAGTAAAGTCCTCTTTACCGGAAAATATTTATTAACATAATAATAATGKATTCAGACAACTGTGAAAGTTTAAAGTAATATTTTACAAATACAATTATTTTTAATGGTTAAGTACTTCATTAAGAGAATATTTTCATTTTTAGGGTACCTATAGGAATATACGGATTTACCGTGTAGTTTTCATTGGAATAGTTTATTAAAACTCATCGTTATTCATCATTTATAATAATCTRTAATTATATAAATTAGAAAACCTATAATATTATTAAACTATGTGTATTTTAATATTAAATCTATTAGACTTTGAGTGG